TTAGGAGGAGAACAAGTTCCTCCTGTTTATTCCCCAGGCTCCTGGCATTTGTGTATAGACACGCAAGTGTCCCCTTAGGGGCTCTTGCCTTGCCTACGTTTTGTTCCAGGGCTGGGGCTGGGGTGGGATCCCTTATGTGCCTTGGCCTGCTGGCTTTCAAAGGGCCATTCGGTGGGCCAGCAGTGGCAGTGGTCCCCGTATCCCCCAGCGGGCTTAGCTTAAAGCCCGGTGGAGCAGGTCAGCCAGTCTAGCTGAGAAGAGCCTCCTCCCCAATGGAGAGAGGTGGAGGCCATCTCTTCCCAGCAGCTCACTGCCTCTCTCTCCAAAGAGCACACTGGTCATGGAAGCCAAAGCCTTCCCCATGACACCAGCACTGCAGTCTTTGGTTGACTACCTGGATCCTCCTCTCCCTCCTCAGCCCACAGCCCGAGACTGGGAGGATCGATGAGAACACCACCTGTGCCCCCAGACCCTTTAGCCCCGCTCCCAAATCCCTGGAGCACCTCATGACCCAGCTAGGAGCACTCTGAGCCGTGTCATTGGTGCCCACATGGATGAGAAGCATGGGATAGCGGTCTGTGGGCTGGAGGGGTTTAGGGATCTTCTCCACAATGTCACGGATGCGGGCCCCTGGGAAGCAGCAAACTTCCTGGGCTAAGGGGTCAGGGCAGCAGATTGCCCCCTCAGTCCCCCTCAGGATGGAGTCTCCCACAACAAACACTTTGTGTTTGGTCTTGGGGAGAGTGGGGACAGTAGCTACAGTGTCCTCTGTGTTGCCTGTGGGAGCTGGCAACTCAGCAGGCTCTGCTGCGGCTGCAAGAGGCTCGTACCTGTTGCAAAGCTCCAGCGGGGCAGGGGCCTTGGTGCAATGGGCCCCGGGGTCCTTGATCACCTTGGTCCAATCCCGTGACTGGACAGTAAGGGAGGTCCCCGGGTTTTCCCTTATCCTGGAGGGAGACTGTGGTCTACCCTCTGCCTCCCGGGGGAGAAGGGCCTGGCAGTGGGAGTCTATCTCCTGCTCACAGTCCCTGATGGCGCGCAGTCTCTGGACTGCGGCTTGGAGCTCCTCCAGCTGGCACGCCAGAGACCCCAGTAGGGAGCAGACCCCACAAGGGGAGGTGGTCATGCTCCCGGGCCCCAGAGCCTGAAAAAGGGACAGGCAGCCCACGCAGCCAAAGGCTCTGTCTGCGTGAAGCCCGGAACCACGAGCTCCGTCTGGGTGGCCGTCTCTGAGGTGCCGGGGGGGGGGCCGCAGAGCCCGAGGGGACCCTCAGGGTGCGGCGCGTGCCCATCCGTGTCATGCTGCTGGTGGGCTGGCTACGGCTGGGACTGTCTGCTCTGGGGGACTCACAGGCAGGGCCTCGGGCCCTCCCACTCGCCCTCCTGCAGAAACTCCCGCGCTAACTCGTGCAGAGACACAGTTGATAGTTTCACCTTTTCCTGCCCAAACAAAGGTAGTTAGTCTGCACTCATCCCATTGGAATGCTATGCGTTCAGTGTCATTGATCAAATGCCTCTATCTTGGCTCCAAAAACTCTATTCATAAGCAAATCTCCCTAGAAGTGACTGAGTCCTTTTGGCACCTTTCTTAGAACTGGAACTATTCTTGTATCTCCTTCAGCTCAAGTCACACAAGGCTCAGTCTCCTCTCTGACATTAGCCAACATCTACGTCAATGCACTGGGAGCTCCAGGGAGATGGAATGGGGAGAAGCCTCAGCAATATACAGCTCTTCATCAGAACTGTCCCTGTATAGCTGAAATTAATGCCTGTATTAAAAGCCTCTGGCTAAAGCTGAACTTGCATATTTCTTGATATTATGCTGCCAGGGAAAGTGCTTTGAAAAGTTTATCTTTGTAGCACCCTCTACCGTAAAGGGAACCCGTTTTCAGAAGAGGTCAGCGTGCAACCTGGACATCCCATTGGCATTTTGAATGCACATTGCCAAAACCAAAATCAGTCACACCCCCACTTCTACATGTAGTTGGCTAGAAGATTGCCTCCTTTCCCCAACCAGTTCAGACCCAGTCAGACAGATCCACACATGTGACATTCAGACTTTATTATGGAAACTCTATCTAGGGAGGAAACCAGACACTGAAAAGACTGCAGCTGCTGCAGGACACAGCAAACAGATTGCTGTTAACACATCATCACCTGAATGTTCAGCTGTCTGCATGGGCTCCTTACTCAATACAGAATCCAATCCAAGTCGCTGTCTGGATACCTTTTGACACAGTGCGCCATTAGCTTATGGAAGGAACTCTGGCAAATGTTGTTGTAAAAAAGTCTTGGCAGCATTCAAATAAGGCTACATCTTAATTTGAACAATAGAAAGATAGGTGTTTACACAAGGTAGGATAAAAATAATGGCTAGGAATTTCAGCCTCATGCTTCAGGATTTAACCTCAACATTTGGTTGGCTTGTAAGAAGCACCTTTCCTGTTGATATGTCATTATAGATGTCCATCATGGAGGATTTACTCCTTCCTTGGGGTTATCTGCTGCTGGCTTATGTTCTCGTGCTGTACAATAATTCCTGTTTTCCAGGTTCATTTTGGTGTTGCTTAGAAGATGTATAACTTCACCAGGGCATTACCTTTCATAGGCCTGCTCAGTTCTTCACTTATTGGAAGAAGCTAGCCTTTAATAAACATTTCTGTTGATGTACAAGGCAGAATACAATCAGTTTAGCTCATTTATACCATTTTTTTTTTGTTCTGCATTGATAACAGCAATAAAGGGGTCTTTTTGTAATAAAAATGAACAGAGGGAGCAGGCCTGTTGCACAAGGATATTTTGCTAGCATGCTGATTACAATTCTCTACTCTGTAGGCAAAATCTGGTTACACTAATCTCACTGGAATTGATTATTCTCCTTCTGCAATAACTCTTTCTGAAGAGATAATAGAAGAACAAGGATTGCCCAACATTAAATTGCAGGTAAG